TCTCACTGAAAATCCTCGTCCCCCGGCGGCACCTTTTTTTGAATTTTCTTCCTTTTCAACGGCGTTTTTTGGGAATTTCGGATTTTCTTTGAATTTTTCGCAATAATATTCGGAAAATAGATAACTTTTAACACATTTTAATGCAATAAAAATTTTTGGTCGGAGTCCCTCTTTAAGGTAGCTGATTTTAAATCATCTATACTATTTCAGCTCCTACAAGAACACAGTTGTCGGAGAAACGATGATCCGGGAGTTGGAGAATCGAGGAGTGCTTCTGAATGAGGAAAAGAAGAGTTACGAGGAGAGATTAGAGGCAGAAGCCAGAGCTAGAAAAGAGGAACATGATAGAGCGGATGTGAGTTAGACATTCTTCTGGATCCTTCTGAATCTTTGAAATTCAGGAGCTCGCAAAGGACAAGGAGGAGCTTGAAGCCGAGCGTGAGAAGCTAATCAGGACGACTAAGAAGCTGAAGGATGACTTGCAGAACGTCAAGAAGTGGGTGATACAGTAGCCTGTAGAAGGGCCCTCTAACTTTGAGCCGATTTATCTCGATTCCTTCAAAAGATTTAAAAAATCTGTCAACTGGTAAAATGTTTATCATAATATCAGAAACATTTTATCAATTGACAGATTTTCGATATCTTTCACAGGAGCCGAGATATATGTGCTCACAGTGCACGGCTTCTATTAACAGGTTTTACGTTATCCGTCACGGGAGTCCAGCATACCGTGAAACCTTTATTAGAATGACCGCCCAGCTTTCACTTTGAGCTCAATTATTTCGATTTATGTGAAAGTTATCAAAAACCTGTCAACTAACAAAATACTGGTGATATTATGATAAGAAATTTATCAGTTGACAGATTTTAGATATTTTTCATCGCAACCGAGATAATTGAGCTCAAACTTAATGGTATCTTTTTTTCAGTGAACTCAAAATGACAAACGAGATGAAGAAGACGTTGGAGCAGGAGAAAATGAGTCTCAACTCAAAAACCGAGCACCTCCAAGCCAACATGGAGTCTTTGAACATTGAGAAAGAGAAGATCCAAGAGCAACTAGCAGAGATTGTTCGGGAAAGAGAGAAGGTTCTGATTGATAATCAAAATTTGTCAACTGACAAATGCCAATTGAATAATCGTTTAATGGAAATTGAAACTTCACGGAATTGCATTATGACAGAGAAGGAGAAAATCGAAACGCTCCTTAAAATGAACGAGCAGAAGACGATGGATCTGGAGAAGGAGAGGCAGTACTACACAATGAAGACCTCTGAACTTATGGATCATTTGAAGGAAGTCAGCGATCAGAGAGACCTCACCGAGTCAGAGTTGAAAGAACAAATGATGGCTCGGATGGGTGCGGAGAAGCAGTTGCAAGCTGCCGAGAAGGCTTTGGAGCATCTGGAAATGGCTTTGAAGATGACTGGAGCTCAGATGACAGAGCTGCAAGAGCACATCATGCCCGATGTTCACAAGTTGAGAGGTGCCTCTATAGGGAAAGCAGAAGTTTGAAATCTTAAATTTTCAGAATTCTTCGAGCAGTGCGCAGAAGAGTCTCGCTTTGAAGCCAATCGAACTGGAATCATGAGAAATGCAGTGTACGCTAGAAAGTGAGTGTGCTTCCTCTAATCAAAGCCCATTATCTCGTTTCCTATCAAAGGTATCTAAAATGTGTCAAGTGATGAAATATTTATCATATTATCCGCAGTATTTTATTAGTTGACAACTTTTTTATATCTTCAACAGGAATCGAGATAATGGATCTCAAAGTTAAAGGTATTTCCTCTTACTCACCCAAACCGCCAACTTTGAGCCCATGTATCTCGTTTCCTGTATTAGCTATCAAAAAGCGGTCAATTAATACAATATGTATTATAATACCAGAAATATTTTATCAGTCCAAAATTTTTTGATATGTTTTACTGGAATTGAGATAATTAAGCTCAAAGTTACCGTGCTTTCTATAAAATCCATACCGGCAACTTTGAGACAATGTATTTTGTTTCCTGTATAAGCTATCAGCAAGCAACTAACTGATAAACAGTTTATCATAATATAAGCTATATTTTATCAGTTGGCACGTTTTTCATATCTCTTATAGGAGCCGAGATAATTGAGCGCGAAGTGTGGTATACGATTCATTTTCACAACCGAGCGTCTTCAATTTAAAACCTTTAAACCAAATTCAGGAGTATATTTGACTTGGCATTTGTAAATCTGGACGGACAGCCTCTGGATGTCTATGAAAGATTCTGTGAACAGAATTCTGAAATAGTACATCCGCATAACTTCCAAAGAACGCGTCACAATGGGAACTGGAAGAATTCCAGTTTTAAGAGAATAGGGTATAAAGTGTGTTTGAGTGACTTCTCCTCTGGTTTTTTGAGTGACTAAACATTGTGTGGATTGTCGTGGCTAGATGTACCGTATCCCTGAATCCTTATACCAAAAATTTCAGATCGATCCGTCGCTCGAAACGTGGAATCCGATCATCGATTCGTAAGAAGGAGACCACGACTCAAATCAAGGAACCTCTCATGCAACTGTGACTAGTTGACTCATTGCACAACTTTTTGACTCTTTTCATTTTAACTCTTTTTGTAATCACTCATTTTGTACTTCCAATAATCTTTATTTATTAATTTATCAACTTGGGATCTTCCTTTCAATAAAAAAAATGCATTACAACAAAAACCTACACTTTGAGCTCAATTATCTTCCTTCCTTCAAAAGATATCAAAATTGTGTAAACTGATAAAATGTTTATCATGATATCACCAACTTTTTATCAGTTGACACATTTTTTATATATCTTATAGAAATTGAGATAATTGAGCTTCTTACGGCACATTACCCGTACAACAAACACATTGAAAACAGTCTTCTAATAATAACACACTCCGGTATATTTACAAATCAAATCCAAATACACATCGACTCTGGTAAACCTGGCCAGCATATTACTTGGACAGCCACGAGTACCGAAAGATGTGATTGCAATCAAAATGGCTCTTCCGAAATCGTCACGGTACTCCAAACCGCCTCCACTATCGCCCTGAAAGTCTTAAGGATAGTCTTAAGATCATTCGGAAGTCTTAAAGATAGTCTCAACTCTGGATGATAGTCTCAAGTCTTGAAGATGGTTGTAGGCCTAAGGATAGTCGTAAACCTTAAAGATGGTCTTAAAGATAGTCTTAAAGATAATCTTAGGGATAGTTTTACGTTTTAAGGATAGTCTTAAGGCTAGTCTTATGCTTAAAGGTGGGGGGACATGAAAAAAATAATGTTCTCGAAATTCCGTTCAAAGATGCCCCTCGAGGAGTTGAACTTGTGAGGGCGATGATTGAGGGTGCGGCGCCGCTACCGACTGAGCCACGCGGGCAAAGAGAAAGAGCACGCCCGTTTGCATACATAAAGGCGAGGACGACAGCTGTACGCAGAGTGACATTAAGCGTTGTACACCGTGACGGTAGAATGCATACTCTAGCTACAAAAAAACTACGAAAAATCTCCTGTCCCCCCACCTTTAAGAATACACTGAAAGATCAACGTTGGCTCACATGACAAGTCCTTGGTGCTGAATAGTTGTAAATGTCCATGGATGTGGCACATACATAATCATTGGCATCAGCTGGCAGTCTATCACTCCACGGACGACGACAATCTCGATCCACTCTCATTGGAATCTCATGAATCAGAGGACCACTCTCATTGAATACTGGAAAAAACTTGAGATACATGGAACACCTTTCTAACCATACTTGTGAACCGAGCCCTGGCGAGTCTTTGCGGGACCTGCCACAGTTTCTTTCAGAATCAATATTTTGGACCAACTAAATTCGATATGATAGAACTTGAAGAGTACTACAAAATGATACTATTTGGAAAACTCTGTCTTGGTTATGGTCACATTTAAAAGACTTTATAGCTGTGATCGCGTAGCTCCGAAGGTTTTTCGCTCATAACTTTGTTCATAGACAAGATACAGAAATTACAATAGCATCATTTTGTAGTATTTGTCGAGTTCTATCAATTCTAATTTAACCAGTATAAAATATTGATATTAAAAGAAGTTATGATAGATCCTGGTTCATAAGTATGTTTCTAATGAATCTTACTGTAACTCCTTCCCCATCCTGGCACAGTTAATGATCTAGTATAGTACATATTCGGCCTGGGAAGACAGATTGGTTGGACATCCTTCCCAAACTGAATTCTTTTCTCTACTTCCACAATCGCCCAATCATGTCCACTTGTGCAGTTGGACGCGGCAAAATCACCATCTACCAGAACACTTCTGATCTGGAACGTTCAGCTTGGTAAGTTTGACCAATGCTCAATTTATTGAACCCCCTACCTTGTTATGAATGACATCCGGCTTTTTGCATCTAATGTCGTTTGGATACTCTTCGGTGAATCCTCGAATACACTTACCTCCATAGGCGACTTTACGCGTTTCTCGTAGGAATTCAATGGATCGGTAGACAGAGCTACTGAAACGTTTTGAGTTGAGAAACAATTTTCAACTTTGAGCCCATATATCTCGTTCCCTGTAAAGGATATCAAATAACGGTCAACTGATAAGATGTTTATCATAATATGGAAAACATTTTATCAGTTCACACAATTTTGATATATCTCATAGGAACCAAGATAGCTGAGCTCAATGTTAAGTGTCACTAATTGAAAAAAAAACAATTACTTTGGATGCTTCAAATCGCGGTCCATACACAAGTTTCCCCTTGCTCCAATCGTCGTGACAAATCCATGTGCGGCAGTTAGAATATGATAGGGGCTGATGATGGATCCACCTAGTCGGTTGACCCCATCCACTGTGAACGATACGGCCCATGGGAATTCTTTGTGTTTGGATTCCTTTTGAACACCACATGTCTCCCAGAGTAATTCATTTTGAAGGGGAGAGAGGAACGATTTCTCGGAGACTAAAAAAATTTAATTTGATTGGATTGAAATAGCGATAGTTGTAGTTCGAATTCGTTCAGTTTTGAAAGATTCTCTTAATGGAGTAGGTACTGTAGCTCAGACAGTACTAAATTTACATTCCAAAAAAGCTTTTTTTTTTGAAGATGAGAGGTTGAACTTGTATGCCCACCGTTGGAGCAACCAGCTGAGCTACAAATTTGAGCCCATATATCTCATTTCCTGTAAAAGATATCAAAAATTCTTTACTGATAAATTATTTATCAGAAGTATCTTATCCGTTGACAGATACTTGATATCTTCTATAGAAACCAAGATAATTGAGCTCAAAGTTGGAAATCTCTTACTAGTTTCACCCCAAACCTTATACACGAACTTTGAGCTCAATTATCAGCTTCCCATAAGAGTTGTCAAAAAGTTGTACACTGATAAAATATTGCTGATAACATGATAAATAAGTTATCAGTTAAAACTTATTTGATATCTCTCATAAACACCAAGATAATTGAGATCAAAGTTGAAAAAGCAAAAAAAAAGGTTGAAACTCACAACTATCTCCAATCCAAATGGGTTGAAAAGTGATCACCGATGGAACGGTGGCCAGAGACAACACAACAACAGCTATCTTCTCAAGCATATCATTCAATCACGTTTCTTCTCTCTGTGTGACAAAAACTAAACAGGGGAGTGGGGAGTGAAGATAACCTTGGGTTGAGAGGGAGACTCGATTTTTTGAAGGGTGGAGTTTTAATGGTTTTTGGTTAGAGGAACTGGTACGGAAATTAGTGAAAATGTTCAAAGGCAGTACGGTTTGATTTACTGTAGTAGTCAGAGTGTATACAACACTTTAGAAATAAAAAATATTGAATGTTACGATTACGGGAGTCGGGCCGAATGTCGAAGGTGGCCTATTATTCAGAAAGTTTCAGTTGAAAATATATATTAAAACTGAATTCAAATAAAACTAAAAAAGGCAAAAATTATAAGAGTCACTTTCCCCAAAAAAGGTCACTGATGGTGATAGTGAAAGGTGTAGTGATAAATCATGTTTTCTTGCCCCTCCTCAGCTTATAAAGCAAGGCAACAAAGACTAATTGATAAAAGGAAGTCATGTTAAAGGGACATAGTTAGAAATTGAGGACAATAGAAGTACATTATTATGCAGACAGTGGGCAATCAGAGTAACTGGTAGCACCCCAACTTTTTTGCAGAGAATGACTTTTTTGAAAATAGGGAAAAGTTAGGGTGGAAGAAGACGAAAATTGGATTATATTAGGATGGGCGCAAGTTTCTCGGAAGTTTCATGTTCACATTTTCTGAGAGTTGAGCTTTTACAAAAAAAACCAATAAATTCTAAAAATGCCAATTCTGTTTATGAAGGAGACCGATTCAATCGGGACGTTTTATGAGGTAGGTGGTTTTTTAAGGACACCCTATGTGTTTGTTTGAGCTCAATTATCTCGGTTTTTATCAGAGATATCAGAAAATTGTCAACTGATAAATTGTTTATCATAATATCAGAAACATTTTATCAGTTGACTGCTTTTTGATATCTTTTACAGAAACTGAGATAATTGCGATCAAAGTGAATAAATATGGTGGGCTTCTATTAAAGCCTCTACCGTAACTCTTGAAGAAGGAGATACAGTGTTAAAACGTCGTCGACGACCGCGTAGCTCAGAGCCTTTTTTCAGAGTGATTTAAATTCAAAAAAATTTTAAAATCAAAATTCCGTTCAAGTGAATTGTGGGCCCACCGGTTTGGGTGGCGCGTCGTTACCAGCTGGGCCACAAATTTGAGCTCATACATTCCTCGCGCACTTTAAGCTCAATTATCTCGGTTCCTTCGAAAGATATGAAAATTTTGTCAACTGATAAAATATTGGTGATATTATGATCAACAATTTATTAGTTGACTACATTTTGATATCTCTTGAAAGAACCGAGATAATGAAGCTTTAAGTGAACGTATGAGATGGGCTTCTATTAGAGCATATATTTCTATTAGAACATACAGTATGTTTTTCCTAGAAGAATTACCAATCTTTTTTTCAGAAAATGTCCCTTAAAAATTCCTGGAAAATCTTTCTTTCTCTCTATCATGATGAAGCGTTTTCCGTTCCTTGAATCCCCCAAGGTGGCCGGCCCCACCATACCCCCTTCGCTTCCTCTCTCAGAATTATTTTTGACGACGTCAGTTGGTAAAAACGGCGACGTCAAAGAATAGTTGCCACATTCCTTCTAGCACCCGGCGCAGTTTTTCAAAATCAAAAAGTGGTCCATCCCGGCCGAAAAAATGGGCCTGAGACGAAGAAAAGAACTCAAAAAGCGGGGCACCCGGCGGATCCCAAGGGGCGTTTTGGAAGAAAGTTTCGGCGGCTAACACCCCTCTTTTTGTTTTTATTATTTGAAATAATACTGGACTCTCTTTTTGAGACGACAATTTTTGCAACATTTCGCCGCTCTCGATCTTTGTTTTGTTTTATCCCAAAATGACATCAGACTTGTTGAAAATTCCCGTTTACAGTACTATTGTTCAGTTGGCTTTTGGCATTTCCAATAGTCTGGAGCTTGGTAAATAGCTGAAAAATAGGAATTTTCAAACAATTCTTTGAATGCAAATTTTTGAATCTATTTCTGTTTTACATCCTTCAAAATTTTCAAAGTTATTGGATCCTCGATGTCCGAGCTCCAGGCTCCGGAACATGGTCGAAAATCAACTGAAAAATACATTTTTGGATACCTTATGGACCGGTACTGAAAAAAGTACTGAAATTCTGTACTCTAGACACTAAACCATAATGCTCCTATCACACGGCGAAAGTCGTCAGTCATTCAAACAAAAAAAGGCGGAAGAAAAACGAAGACGAAGCTCATCGGGTCATGGTCCGCAGGCCAAACAGAGCTTGGCGGTTTTGGCACAGTTGATGCTGCCAGCATTGATAGAGGAACATACAGCGCAGGTTTACAGATTATAGGACTTCAAATTGAAGGCAATTAGCTAAATTAATTGGTTTCAGCAAGAGGATGTCTTCGTGCCCGCTCACTACAGGGCGGATGGATCGTTGGCGTCTACTGTGACCAACCGACGGCATGTCCTGCAGAGAGTAAATTTGCTTCAAAGGGCGAATTGTCAGATGAGAAAAGGAGCAGCAGGAGTATGGGATGTAAGTTAAAGGGGTTTTGATTTAGCTAGCGATGTGAGTTAGTCACAGCGACTTACCCTTGCACGTTGACCTACACTCTAATATACAACTTTGAACTTATTTATCTAGATTCCTGTAAAAAATATCAAAAAGTTGTCAACTAATAAAATATTTTTGATAATTTGATAAAAATTTTGTCAGTAGACCGCTTTTTGATATCTTGCACTGAAAATGAGATATATGGGCTCAATTCAGTTGGTAGCGACTCGGCACCTCCACCGGTGCGCCCACAGTTCAACTCCTTAAGACGTATTCAAGGGTTTACTGTAGATTTCTGTAAGAGGTATCATACAGTTACCAATACTGACAATATATTTTCAATTTATCTCGGTTCCTATGAGAGGTATCAAAACGTTTTGAACCGATAAATTGTTCATCATAATATCACCAACATTTTATCAGTTGACAACTTTTTGATATCTTTTACAGAAACTGAGATAATTGCGATCAAATGAATAAATATGGTGAATATAATGATAAACATTTTATCTGTTGACAGATTTTTGATAACTTTTGAAGGTACCTAGATAATTGAGCTCAAAATTGTCGGTTTGGATGGGCCTCCTCATATGTTGTGGTTGAACCTAAAACCGCTTGAAACACTTCTTACAAATCAGAATCTCATTATCCATTCATTCCCACCCCATCGGAAGTTGTGAGGTGATCTCTCTCTCATCTTTATTGCAAAAGAAGAAGCGCTCAAGTCCAAATATCCTGTGCGTCTGTTTCAAAAGGGAGAAGAGACAATTGGCTCAAATAGGCACTCACTCTCCCCGTTCACTTGATTTAATATAAACGACCTCTCTCTTCAAAGGACTCCTCTTTTACTCGATCTAGTCAGACCTCCATTTTTTGTCTTCTTCCCATTTTGCTTTAAAACCTTCTTTTGGTGACGTATTAAATGTTCGGGAACATTTTGCCTAATACTAGCAAGTATAATGTAAGTAGATCTTTAAAAAATAGATCGCACTGATCCCACAGAGTCTTATAAGTTTTAATTTCAGATTGCCGGTCGTGCTCATCTGGCCGGAAAACGAAAAGTGGAACAACTCCAACAAAAACCTCCATTATGGCTGGTTATTCTGAATAGAGCATATCATAAGTATGGATTGAAGGTTAGTTACTAGAGAACACCACATTTTTCCACCCAATCACTTCCAGCACGCAGTTCTAATTCTAGTCTTCCTGGTTTATTGTATTGCTGGTGGCCTAATTTTTTGGCTAATCGAGGAGCCATTTCAATCGGAACTCCGTGATAAATGGCACCAGAAGATCTACAATAATCGTACCGAGCGAGTAGACTTCATGATGAAACGAATTTTCAACAATTCCGATTTCCTCATATACATTAAGGGTAACACAACGACGCGGCTGGAGCAGTTTTTTAAAGAGTGAGTTATTAAGAAAGACACTTACTAAGAAAGATTCTCACTAAGAAAGATCATCACTAGGAAATATTCTTATTAAGAAAAATTCTTAGTAAAAGTATCTTCATCAAGCAGGATCCTCAATAGGGAGGATTGTTATTAAGAAACATTGTCAGTAAGAAATTTCCTAGATGAGAAAGATTCTTAATAGAATAGATTCTCATTAAGAAAGGTAGTCACTAAGCAAAATTCTTACTAGGAAAGTTTCTAATTGAGAAAAATCCTTACTAAAATTATCTTCATCAAGAAAGATCCTCAATAGGGAGGATTCTTGTTAAGAAATATTCTCACTAAGAAATTTCCTCACTAAGAAATTGTCTTATTAAGAAAGGTTCACACTGATAGTCAACCGGGTCTGAATATCCAGAAAACGTTTCTTTTCTGATGTCTTGCCTCTAGAAGTACCTGTGAACTAAGCATTCCCTCGGGATGTATTACTCATTCATGACCTTCAGAACTTATGACTTTCCAGGGAATTCGCTTCTTACGAAAACCAGTTGGGCGTCAAGTGGAGTCAACAGAAAATGGATTGGGACTTTTGGAACGCAGTGTTGTTTGCTGGCACAATTTGCACCACAATTGGATATGGACACATCTATCCGATGACCGACGCAGGGAGGTTGTTGACAATGTGTTTTGCTCTTTTTGGTGCGTTTCTTAAGCCTGACAACATGCAACATATTCTGAAAGCACAATGTATTTCCAGGAATCCCATTAATGCTTCTGGTACTTCAAGATTTTGGTAAACTTCTCACAATAACTATGAAATTCCCGTGGTTTCAAACTAAACGACTCATGAGACGAATCATGAGATGTTGTACAAAGCAGCCGATTGAGGAAATGAGAGAAATCGAACGACAAGAAAGACATGACCTGGACATTTTTGATCTACCATTACCAGTTGGAATCGGTCTGATTGTTGTCTGGGTGAGGTTTCGTAGCTGTAATAGAATAGTTAATTTTTCATGGCTTCTATGCAAGATATCAGAAATGTATTAACTGGTAAAATGTAGTTAATATAATGATAAACATTTTATCAGTTGACAAATTTTCGAAATCTCTCATAGGACCCGAGATAACTGAGCTCAAAGTGAACTTATAGGATAACCCTTCAGATTTTCATCTGCTCATTCGTTCTATCAGTTTGGGACCACAACTGGACGCTTCTCGAATCGTTCTACTTCTTCTTCACTTCCTTATCAACTGTAGGTCTTGGCGACCTGGTCCCATCATCGCCTCGCCTGCTAATCACAATGTTTGGTTTTATTCTCGTTGGGCTATCTTTGGTGTCAATGGTTATTAATCTTCTCCAGGCAAAGGTAAGGTCTTTAACTATATAAAGAACCGAATTTCAAACCATTTCGACTCCTGAAAATGGTGAACATGGTCTAACGGGTTACTGTAGCCCATATAAAAGTCAAAACCTTTAAATTCAGATGAAATCCACATACGAAGCGGGTCGAAACGACGACAAGGCACTAACACATCATGCTCATACGCTACCTACCTCACTTGGAGTCATGCAGTGCTATTCAGCAGACGAGGAGAAGAAGGCCGATGTTTCAGAGAGAAGCTTGAGTCGGTCCACGCAGACGAGTCTAAGCTTACCAGGAGTTCGACAGGTAAAGCGATCTAAAAAGCACATAAAGGAGGGTGAAAAAAGTTTGGGGGCAGCTTGGTGAACAAAATCGCGCCGAGTTTATGTCGGCAGCCGCATAGCTCATTATAAGAGAGATTCTCACTAGGGTACGTCCTTATTAAGAAAGGTCGTTACTAAGAAAAATTCTTACTAAGCACGATCCTCACTAATAAAACACATCACTAGGAAAGATTCTCATTGAGAAAAATCCTTACTAAAATATCTTCATCAAACAGGATCCTCACTAGGGAGGATTCTTATTGAGAAACATCCTCACTAAGAAAGATTCCCACTAGGAAGGATTCTTTCTAGGAAAGCTTCTTATTGAGAATAACCCTTACTAAAAATATCACCATCAAGAAGGATGCTCACTTGGAAGGATTCTTATTAAGAAACATCCTCACTAAGAAGTTTCCTCACTAAGAACGATTCTCACTAGGGAAAATTCTCATTAAAGGTGGGGGGACAGGAGATTTTTCGTAGTTTTTTTGTAGCTAGAGTATGCATTCTACCGTGACGGTGTACAACGCTTAATGTCACTCTGCGTACAGCTGTCGTCCTCGCCTTTATGTATGCAATCGGGCGTGCGCTTTCCCTTTGCCCGCGTGGCTCAGTCGGTAGCGGCGCCGCACCCTCAATCATCGCCCTCACAAGTTCAACTCCTCGAGGGGCATCTTTGAACGGAATTTCAAGAACATTACTTTTTTTTCATGTCCTTCCACCTTTAATAGTCTGCCGGTAGCGGAGCTGTATCCCCTGATCTGTCCCTCATGAGTTCAGCTCCCCATCTAGGCAAGACATCTAGAAAACTTTTTTGAAATCCTTGCCTCTTTTAAAGCAAGTCTATCCTTTAAGGTCGTCCTCCGCTCGGACGGTGTTCATTGGGTCAACACCGACACCTCATCCCCAACAAAGTCTCCAGATGAAGTGACGAATCTAGTGGAAATGGAGACGGCTCTTCGAGTTTGCGAGCAAATTGGGGACAATAACAATGAAGAGTATTCAGAAGGAGAGAGCTTGATTTGTGAAACAGAAGTGTTGTTGGAGCTGGGCGAGTGCTTGTCGGATTTGGAACGATGTGATAGTATTTGATTTTTTGTTTAAAATTGAATGTTTGAATAAACGATTTCTCATTTTACCGCATTTAACCTCGTCATCAACCTTTTGCTCTTGGTTTTCTGATCGAAAATGCTCCTAATTCTTTGAATTTTGCACCTAAACTCCCCGAGTTTTTTTTCCGGAAAGTTTCAAAATTTCCTGATAAGCCCATTTGCAGACAAAAGATTCATGACAAAGCTTTTTCTGGCGCCGTCCACATGTCCAAAAAGTCTAAAATACATGAAATATGATGGAGGTGTGTTATCAGTGGCGTGACACTGATAACAGATTGTATATGGTTCTTTGTATAAAAAATTTTTGGAATTGACAGAAGAAAAAGGAAAACGGGTTAGAGGAAGAAGGACCATGTGTACTTTGAGCTCAATTATCTAGGTTCATAAGAGAGATCCAAAATATGTCAACTGATAAATTTATGGGGATAAATTTGATTAAAGTTAAGAGGCTCTTCCCTAATTGGCTACAAGCACGGCCTATAAGTTCACTTTGAGCTTAATTATCTCGAATCCTAATAGAGATATCAAAAAGGGGTCAACTGATAGAATATTTATCTTCTTATTACCAATGTTATATCAGTTGACACATTTCAAATACCTCTTATAGGAACTAAGATAATTGAGCTCAAAGTACTGGACTTCTATTAGAGCAAATACGGTACTTTCGGGAAATGATATCAAAATAAATATTTTTGAAAACTTTCAGAGCTCTAAAAATCATATTTCTCTCTGAAGACCCTGAACGATCGTATATAAGGTACACAATTGTTTAAAAATTTTGAAATTTGGTCCCGGACTACAATGTACAACTACTGCGAATGCTCTAATAGAATGATGACCTTACTCTTTAATTTTAAGCTCAATTATCTTGGTTGCCATGAGAGATAACAAAAATTTGCCAACTGATAAAATATTTATCATAATGTAACCAACATTTTAACAGTTGACCAATTTCTGATATCTCTCCTAGGAACCGAGATAAATTGTGACAAAGTGAACGCTAGGGTAGTCCATCTAGGGTCACGCTAGGGTAGTCCATCTAGGGGGAGATAAAGGTTTTACTAAAATTTCAGCATTTTTAGAGATTCTAGGTTTGGTGCTAGTGTAGTCAGTGACAATGTAAACTTTTAAAATTATTCAAAACGTTAAAATGTATTTTTTCCTGAAATTTTCCCAAATTAGCACTGAAACCAGATAGGAAACTACCGTAAATGCTCTAATAGAAGCCCACCCTATACGTGCATTTTGAGCTCCATTATCTCGGTTCCTTTGAAAGATATCAAAAATAAATCAACTACTGAAATAATTATCATGTTATCACCAACATTTTATCAGTTGACAGATTTTTGATATCTCTCCTAGGAACCCAGATACATTTGGTAGAAATTCAGGATACATTTTCAAGGCTTTCTAAATTTTGTTTTTTTCGTTTTTTTTGCATCTAAAATTGGAAGAAAAAAAAACTGACATTAAAAAAACCCAATGATTTATTATGATTGTTGTTTTGTTTTCCGAGCAAGAAAGAGAAATGAGAAAGAATTTCAGTCAGGAGAGGGAATTTGTTTCAAAAAGAGGATACCCGGAACAAATCCCGAGGATTTTTGTGTGTGTGAAAATTGTAAAAAAATTAAAACTATGGATCGATGTGGTGTGGAATGGCAAAATTATGGTGGTGTCCCAAAAGTGAAAAGAGAGGAAAAAGCGAATAAGAAATGGAAGAATATCACAAAAAAAAAATGAATAAAACTCTGATTTTGGAACATCTTAATGACGAATGGTATGACAATGGCTGATGTGGAGGAACTCTTGCTGGGTCAGACGGATTTCCAAATCCTCGAAGACGTTGAAGAAGAGACTTCCGACGCCGTCAAGATTGCGGGAGTATTGGGAGTGTGCGATTTCACTGAAAAAACGCGAATTTTGTATTTTTAAGAAATATTGTCATTATTCCTAGTGTCCCATTTTGCAGAGGAAAAAATATAAGGAATCTCTGAGACAAACAAAGGGAATATTTGATAAGAACTGGTTATCAGTGTAGTTCCTTGTGTATTTGAACAATGGGAGAAGAGACAGAGAAAAAGAACTAAGAATAGTAGTGGAAGGTGCTATTTTTAGAATGTAACCTATGGGAAATTATCAAAAAAGCATTAACCTGTGACACTCTAGAATAACCCCAGAAATAGAAAAATGGAATCATTTCCGGCTGACAACCCAATTATTGAATTTGGCGGAAGAGAAATTTAGAATTCTCACTAAGAATGATGCTTACTAACAAAGATTCTCATTAAGGAAAGCCTTACTAAGAAAGGTCCACACTATGAGATATTCTTACTAAGCAAAGTTCTTACTAAGAAAGATTCTCAGTAAGAAAGATTCTCACTAAGAAAAACCATTCATTGGAAAATCCACATTTTTGCGCTAAATTAGAAAAAAGCACCCCCCCCCCCCCCTCTCTCCCTCCTAGCTACATCAGTACCTAGAAGCCCGCCCTTTACGTTTCATTTGAGCTTAATTATCTCGGCTCCTATGAAAGATATCAAAAAGCTTCTAACTGATAAAATGTTTATCATAAAATCATTAATATTTTATCAATTGACAGCTTTTTGATATCTTTCTTGGGAGCCAAGATAATTCAGTTCAAAAAACCAACTGCTCTCTTACCTTCCATTTTCCATTGTGCACACGACGAACTTCCAGATTCCGTGTCCACATCCTGACTGAAGTGGAGTGAACACTTGTGAAGATTCTGACGATGAGAAATGGATGAGGCCTTGCTCGCCGGTTGGCACCTCGACGCGGACGTAGAATGCACGAGAGGAAGATGAGGAGCAGTTGATTTCGATCTGGAAATTCGAGGTGGTGATTTCTTTGAAATTTTGCAAAAGATGTGTGATGTTGTGTTCTTTGAGGTAGGTACTTGGCAGGGAGAGGGTCACCAAGCAATTGAAATTGAAGATAGGAAAAAAAGTGTTTCACTTTTTTTATCTTTTCAAAAGAAAGCTCTTGATCTATGAGCACTGACCAGAAGACAAAGAGACTTTCGAAAGCCAAGTCATGTAAAGTTTGAGCTAATTTATCACAGTTCCTGTGAAAGGTATCAAAAAGTAGTTAACTGACAAAATGGTTATTGTAATATCAAAATTATTTTGTCAATTAAAACTTTTTTGATACCTTTTACAGGAACCGAACTATATGGGCTCAAAGTTGACAGTTAAGGGCCCAGACCGAGAAAAGTTAGGCAAAACTTAACAGAAAACTTGACAGTGTGCGGGCCCTTCTATTAGAGGTTTCACCTTAGTTCAAGTATGCTTACATTAGTGGCATCAGCGTGGCAAATTTCCGTCTGAGCACTGGATGAGAGATCTTGTGAGAGATTCGATGAGTTGCGACGGAGAGATCCTTTGAGTCCGGCAATGGACGTCTTCTGTTTTCCGACGGCATCACTTTCAGCCTTTCCGTTGTACTCGCTCTGACAGCTGGAGGCGGCGGCGAAGCATCCGGTACCGAATGAAGGTTTGGAGACCATGAACATGATGATGATGAAGGGAGAAGGAGGAGGAGAAGAGACTGGAAATTTTCGAAAATTCAGAGTGAATGAAAATAGAAGAGAAAATGTACAAAAGCAGTAAACAGTTCAGTTCAAGATGACAACTGAAAACACTGGAAGGAGAAAAATTCAGAGGTGGTACACATGAGAGGCAACACAAAACACGAATGATTCCGAACCCCTCTTCTTCCCCTTGCCGCGGAGACTCCGCCCCATCTCTAGGCTCCGCCCACTTCCACACAACGTTTTTTTTTCGCCTCACTGTCTATCTCTCTCTCCACTAGAGAGCCTCTAGTAGAGACATAGATCAGAAGAAGAGACGTAGAGAAAGGGCGATTTTTTGTTTGGGTGTCGCCATGAAGAAGATGTCCTCAAAGAGCATCAAGTACACGTGTATTTTGGGGACGACGTCTTCTGCAAAAAGCCTGGGGCAGTTGAACAAACAACAGTTTTTTTTCAGAGAAGAAGAGCGTTCCAGAAGTTAGTTGATGTCTGGTTCTGAGAATTTTCAGAATGATTCTTGGGAGGGGAAGGAACCAATCAACATGGAAACACATGGGAAGTAAGGGAAGTAATCAAGAGTTTTTAGTGCTTTATTTTGTGCAGAAAATCATGTAGAGTCACATAATATAACAAAGAATTGGAAATCCATGTTTCCTGACTTATGACGTCGTCACATTTAAAGCCATGTTTAAAACATGATGACATAGAGTTATTATACGTCGTGTGAGCCCTCCTCAGTCAGTGACGACGTACTTCCAGAAATCCGGAGAACAGTCTGTAGGCTGACTCATGAGGCATTTGGAAATTGAAAAAAAATTTCAAACCTTGACTCATTTCTAGTTTGTACATATGAGTATTTGTATTATCAAGCATTACTTGTTAGTCATCAAAGTGTCAGAAATCATGAAGCCCAGTATTTTGAGAAACTGGGTTCTTGGAAAGAGGTCAGGGTCAAACAGTTCCTCGAAATGAACCCATCAAAACAGGTGCACAGGGACAAACAGGGGTTAAAAAGAGCACAAACAGAAGTCCGAACAATCTAGAATAGAGAAGAGAATACAATTTCAGAGAATTTGCGAGAGGAATCACAAGGAAATGAGTTGGAGGTGTCGTCGTGAGAATTTGTAGTGTATTCTGACTAGAAGACAACAATGACTAGAAGACAACAAGACACGTGGTTCGACGCCTACCCAGGGCTATAGTTGTCTAGAAGGAACAGGAAATTTGAGGAACTGTTTTTGAAAATAATAATAACAATAATAATCATGTTGGTTGTAGCTAAAGGGGGTTTTTGAATTAGAAAGAGCAGGCCAATCTTTCTAGAACGTCATAATTGCTAGTTTTTGAAACCTATCTTTGGCTTCGAGACGATAGAACATGGTCTATAGGGCTAGGCAGCATTTTGGATAAAGTAGTTTTTGGTTAGGTGAGTTTTTGTGGTTTTTAGGTAGTTTTTGTGGTTTTTAGGTTTTTTGGCCCTAGTGGATTTTTGGTAGGCCTTAGGAGTTTTTAGGAACCCTAGTGATTTTTTTGACCCTAGTGGTTTTCAGGTACCCTAGTGGTTTTTAGGTGGGCCTTAGGAGTTTTCAGGGACCCTAGTGGTTTTTAGCCACCTTAGTGTTTTTTAAGGATCGTAGTGGTTTTTAGGGACCCTAGTGGTTTTTAGAGAGCCTAGTGGTTTTTAGAGAGTTTCGTGGTTTTTTGACCCTAACGGCTTTTCAGGACAATAGTTGATTTTAATGACTCTAGTGGTTTATAGCAACCATAGTGGCTTTTAGGGATCCTAGTGGTTTTTAGAGAGCATAGTGGTCTTAAGTTACCGTAGTGGTTTGTAGGGGCCCTAGTAATTTTTAGGGAGCCTAGTGGTTTCCAGGTACCCTAGTGGTTTTTAGAGAGCCTAGTGGATTTTAGGTAACCCTAGTGTTTCTTTGGCGAGCCTAGTGGTTTTTTTACCCTAGTGGTTTTTTGGGACTCTCGTGGTTTTTTGACCCTATTTAAGGACACTAGTGGTTTTTTGGGACCCTAGAGGCTTTTAGGAACCTTAGTGGTTTAGCACCCTAGTGGTTTTTTAGGTCGCTGAGCGTATTTTCGACAAAATGGACTGATTGCGATTCACACAGTCTTGATATAGGGACAAAGTAATTTAGTGGAGCACACTAAACAAAACAAAACAAACAAAACAAAAAACAAGGATGCATCACAATCTCTTATCTTTAACAAGACGCCATAGATTGGGGTTTCGGAAATTAGTCTTGTAAACAAAAGAAGGAATTTTCGAAATTTCTCGATACTTCCAGATGATCCCAACAAAAATCTTACATTTCCTATAATTAGAAAAACTCAGCTAATCCGATCTGGGAAGCAAAAAAAGCAAAAAAAAACGAGGAGACAGCAAAAAACCAAGAGCAGAGGGGTAAACATATTTGTGTATTTGCGTGTGTTCCTTCCTTCTACTCAGTAGACGAGGAACTCCCTTTTCCAGATGACTCTGTCTGCGTCTCCAAGTCTCTAGCAGCTCGTGCTCGTGCTGGAATTGCTCTAGAAATTCAGAGAACCAGAGAGGGGGTAGCGGGAAATGGAAAGAGGGTGGATAACGAACCCGTATTCAAGTTCTCAGAAAATTTGCCGGAGAAAATAATTAATGATTATGGGGGTAACTGGAATGAATCGGATCTGACGTAGATCAAAATGGTCATTGTACAAGGCCGGAAAACCCATAATTGAAGGGTTCCCTAACTTGGAGCCAATTTATTTTGATTTCCGTAAGAGATATGAAAAAGTAGTTAACTGGTGAATTATTCATCATTTTATCACCAATATTTTATCAGTTGACAAATTTTAGATATCTTTTATAGAGAACGAGATAAGTGAGCTCTAAGTTGACGGTTGAACTGGGCTTCTATTAGAGGAGTGAGAGGGGGGGGGGGGGGGGGTATTTAAGCCCACTATATGCGTGCACTTTGAGCTCTATTATCTCGCTTCCTGAACGATATATGAAAAAGTTGTCAACTAATAAACTATTTATCATAAAATTTCCAATATTTAATCAGTTGACAAATGTTTCATATCTCTCATAAGAACCGAAATAATTGGGCTCAAAGTTGACGATTGGGGTGGGCCTCCCAACAACATTCCCTGCTTCTCAGTTTTAGCCAATTTTTCTCAACTCCTATAAAAAAACAAGAAAGTTGTCTAATGATAAATTATTTATCAAAATATCGCCCATATTTTATTAGTTGACAATTTTTAGATATCTCTTATAGGAGCCAAGATAAGAAGCCTCAGAGGGACTATCCCTAGTATCTGTAGATCTAGATATCGAGATGTCCCCTCTTCTACTAATTATGCTGGGGCCATATCGGATTAGTCTCAACTTGTTTTTTCCCATGCCACCCTTGTCGTTGTTGTTGTTGTTTTTTTGCCACTTCTCTTCTTCCTCTTCTTTCGTATATGTGTTTTTCAGCTATTGCGTGTCTGCTATTTTTTTCTGTGGTTGTTTTCTCCAACCCCACAAGTTCCTCCTTCTTGATGACTCAAAGCGAAAAATTAGTGTGGGTTTTATCCGGATGATATTAGAAAAATTGTCGCCGGGTTGTTCCATTAGTTATAGTATCAAAATGGATAAGTGAGTCAAACCGGAAGTGTCTAGGAAGATTGACAAGGAAATTTTGGGATGGTAGTGGTGGTGGAGGGATGGGATGGCTGGTGGAGTTGACAAGGGAATTCAAGAAGAAGAAGAAGAAGAAGAAGCTAAGGGAGTTCCGGGGGAAAGGGAAATGAAAAAATTGAATTTCAAGAAAAAGATTTGGCTAGGGACATTGGTCTAAATCACACTTGAAAAGTCAGGGTTCTGAAAAGCAGGTATGGTTAGAAATGAGTCAGAAATTGGGCTCCAAATTAGGTCATAATGTTCAAAAAGCAACCAAACGGAGACTAAATAAGAATCAAGTTTGATTTACGAGGAGAAATGAACACCTAGCAATATTATTCTGAGGAATCTGGACAAAAGGTACACAAATTGACAAAATGACGAGAGCAGAAAAAAAAACATATCGTCATCGTGATGACTTTCTAAGCTGGTTGAAGAAACGACACTATAAATCAATATTGACAAGAAATGAAAAATGCAATGACGAGTGGTTTTTTTCCTGAAGTGTGATTCTTGATTCAGCATAGTTCAGTACTTATTTCGGGTTTTCTTGTTCATGCTGCGTCTCTCTCTCTCTCTCTCTCTCTCTCTCTCTCTCTCTTCCGTTTCTTTAACAGTTTTTATTTCGGGAACTCCTTTAGTTTCAGTTTCACTTGAGAGAGAGAGAGAGAGAGAGAGAGAGAGAGAGAGAGAGTAATGGAAATTAATCAGTGTGTAAGGTGACTCAATGGGAAGAAAAGAAAAAGTGCAAGAGTATGAAAATAGTATAAAAATGTCTGGTGACTATTAGAAAACGCGGGGGACGGAAGAAAAATAGCGGCTAATTTTAAAAGTCATGAGTTAAAGTTCCCTCCTCGTGTTTTGGCTTCTTTTTTTGGCTGAAAAATCAGGGTCGAAACAGTTCCTTGAGGCGAAAACTAGTTAGGATCAAGAAATCAAAAAAGTTCGGGTATTTTTAAATTGGTCTCAATTTCTGTTCACTTTGACACTGACCAAAGTTTTGGGGATGTCCGAGGATTAACCAGATTATCAAGGATCATCAGGAAAATTCCTGTTGATTATTTGATTTATCCCTCCTACCGTAACCCCTATAGTTTTCTGTAGTCTTGTTTGAAACCACAAATTACCCCAGACTGGTTTTTTCTATCTCTACTCACAAAGTCCACATATCGCAGTACACATAATTCATTTCTATCCAATTTTTTTCTCCATTTGATGCTAATGAACTGAATTCCATTGTTGCAGATTATGGAAATTGAGAAAATTTTTTTGCGGGGGATTAGATTCTAAAATGATCAGAAATCTGAGATTTTGAATTTTTGAAAATCAGAGT